GTGGAATGAACTCCCGTATGAGATCAGGGCCCTGCCAGATTTATTACAATTCTGCAGGGCCTGCAAGATGGAGCTCTTCCACCAGGCTTTTGATTGAGGCAGCAGACATCCCTCCCCCCCCTCCTGTGGCCTGGACCTGAATTAGGGTTGCCAAGTCTATCTTCGCCGGGAGCGGGGGATTCCTGGCCGGTGTCTTGTGCGCGTGTGCCACACGCACGTCACCCAGAAGTGATGGGAGGATGCCAGGCACGCTGGGGGCGGAGCGACGGCCATACATAGAGTTTTCCCTTGTATGGCCATGGCCCCGCCCCCAGCGTGCCCGGCATGCCCACGTCACTTCCGGGTGATGCGCACGTCGGGGTGGAGTTCCCCCCAGGGCCCGATCCGGCGCCGCCGGGGAACGGGCCTCTGGGGAGGGGTTTTCCCCGCCCCCCGGGGGGACTTGGGATCCCTAACCTGAATAGTCATACAAGACTACTACCCCTGAGACATCTAGCTAAACTACACACCGCACTTTATGAAAATGTTGTTATATGGCTTTAATCTGTTTTAATTGTTTTTAACTGTATTGTGTCCTGTACTTAGATGGTTTTGTGTTGTTTTATGATGCCAAATGGCCTCGTTAGCTGCTCTGAGCCTGCTTCAGCCGGAAGGGCAGGGTACAAATTAAATAATAAATAAATAATATCATAATACCCCTGTATAAATGTATGGTGTCCACAGTTGGGTTTATGAACTGTTCTGTTACATCTGAAGAAGTCATACACCTTACCAATCTAAGAAAACCTTTTGAGCTTGGATCTACAGCATATCACAGAACTGGATAATGAAACAGTGATGGAAATAATAAATCTATGGTATGGCCTTATTTGGAGTATTTGGACAGGTCTGGTCACCATACCTCAAAAAAGATATAACATTGGAAAAGGTGGAGAAAAGGGCAACTAAAATGAGTAAGGGGGTGGAACACCTTCCCTATGAAGAAAGGTTAAAGAGGTTGGGGCTCTTTAGCTTGGAGAAACGATGACTGAGAGGTGACTTGACAGAGGTTCACAAAACTATGCATGAGACAGAGAAGGTCGAGAAAGAAGTACTTTTCTTCCTTTCTCACAATACAAGAACTCGTGGGCACTCCATGAAATTAGTGAGCAGTAGGCTTAAACCAGATAAAACGAAGTACTTCTCCCAAAGAGAATTCACTGCTGCAGGAAGTGGTGGAGGCTACAAGCACAGACAGCTTCAAGAGGGGACTGGATAAACATATGAAGAGAAGTGAGAAGAGATTGGATTTCTACCCTGCCCTTCACTTGAAGTCTCAGAGCAGTTTACAAACTCCTTTCCCCTCCCCACAACAGGCACCCTGTGAGGTAGGTAGGACTGAGAGAGCTCTGACAGTAACTGCTCTTTTTCAAGAACAGCTCTTATCAGAACTATGGCTTGTCCAAAGTCATCCAGCAGCTGCGAGTGGAGGAGTGGGGAATCAAACCTGGTTCTCCCAGATTAGAGTCCGTGCACTTAACCACTACACCAAACACAGGTCCATCACTGGCTATTAGCCACAAGATTATAGATAGAACACTATGTCTGGGGCAGTGATGCTCTGTATGATTGGGGAGCAACAGTGGGAGGGTCTCTGGAGTTCTGGCCCTGCTGGTGGACCTCCTGATGGCGCCTGGTTTTGGCCACTGTGAGACAGAGCGTTGGACTGGATGGGTCATTGGCCTGATCCAACATTGGCTTCTCTTATATTCTTATTCTATGCATTTCCTGGTTTCTTTTAAGATTTTTCAGTACACCTGCTTGTGGTAAACGTTAAATATGTAAATAGTAGATGGGAGGCAATAATCTGGCACTCAGTGCTCAATGCCATCATACATTAAACATTTTATGAATTCTCTGTGGGGTTTTGTAACTGCTTGTGTGGTGAGAATCTCTCTCTCTCTCTCTCTCTCTCTCTCTCTCTCTCTCTCTTCAAAGCGTTGTGCACTCTCACACTCTCTCTCTCTCTCTCTCTCTCTCTCTTCAAAGCGTTCTGCAGTCTCAGACTCAAACCCAGCAGCTGGATCCTGCAGAAATGTTCAGCTAAAGGAAAGAGGGGGGCAGTGATTTTCACCAGTCTCCCCCTTCACTGATGTATACCCAGGGGTCGTTTCGTAGAAAAAGAGCTAGGGGAACTCATTAGCATAACTCAGCATATGCCACACCCCCTGACATCACCGGAAGTGTGTCATAAGGCCACACACCCCGCCCCCAACAGTCCCGGCTGCCGCCGCCGGCCTTGCAGCTCCACTGCTGAGCCCCATGAGGGGCACGGCGGTGAGCCTGCAAGGCCGGCGGGAGTGCAAGGAAGCCCCACGAAGGCCCTCCCTGGCCCCAGGCAGGCAGGGGTGGGGAGAGGCAGGGAGGAAGCAACTTACCCTCCCTCTTCTCCTGCCTCCTCCTGGCTGAATGAGGGCCGGAAGCAGGGCGGCCGGAAGCAGGGGGCGGGGCTTCGTCATGTGCCCCACCCCCATACCTCACCAGGGGGAACTGCGATCCCACGCGATCCCCCCCGAAATGACCTCTGTATATACCTCTGACTTCCCCCACACTGTTTCTGGGAGTCTGCTGTCCACCAGAAACTTCATTTCAGGGGGTGTTTTGGGATGCAGCAGGAGGAAGAAAGTAGAGAAAATAATCTCTGCTGTCAGAAATCCCTTACGCCATCAGAAGTGATCCATGGGATCCAAGCTCAGGACCAGGAACTCCAGAGTCTAATGTCCAAACTTCAGCCATATGGCAGCAGCAAGTACCCTGTACGAACTCAATCCAGAAGTGCCACAGGGGCACCATATGCACTGAGACCTTGAGGCAGGGGAGGAGGGGTTCCTCCCCCCCATACCATTTCCCAACATTAGGACTTCCAGGTCTCCAGGATTGGAGGGAGACCTTCCACTGGCAGCCCTTTTCTCCTGCCACCACTCTCTTCCAGCGAGGGGAAATTGCTGTTGTCAGCAACATGGTGACATCAGTTCTAGCATGACACAGAAGTAACATCACTGTGTAGGGCAGATAGTCTAGCATTCACCCCAAACTCTATGGTTAGCTCATAGAGTTTTGGGCAAAAGCTAGAGTGTTGCCCCTACATGATGGCTTCAACTTTCAGGTCACACCAAGTGGCATCATTGCATCACTGGAGGGGCCTTCCCCTCACAAACTGAAATTACCCTTGAGCAAATAAATCCCCCTGAGGCTGTTTGAGTTCAGGAAAATGGACAAGGAGGAAGGTAAGAGGCTCTCCTTCACCGTGCCATTGTCCCAATCTTAACTGTAACACAGCATGCTTTCGAATTGAGTTCCCACAGGGAAATTACAGTTGGTGTCATGCTGCAAGACCCTGTGGTGACCATGTGGTATATGTGATGTGTAGTTTGGCCCTTTATCTGAGTGATATCAGAGAAAGGCTGCTGGTCAAAAATTCGGTGCTCTAAAATGGCTAATAGATGGAACTACAGTCCAACTGGAAAATCCAGTGAACAAGTAGATAAGCTACCTGATGGTGCCAATGAGATAAGGCTGATTATAAAGAATCACACTTGAAACCAGCCCTAGGCTGGTGACAAAGAATCACACTTGGAAGATTTATGATGGGATTCAGACCCAGGTATGCAAATTCAATATTTTTGTCTTAGCTACACTATTTTTCATTTTGCTTGCAATGTCATTTTCTGCCACTAGATGGCTGCAACAGATCTTCTTCCCAAGCCTCTACCACCCTGGCTTTTATCAGAAATCTAGCATTCATCTCTTTCAGCCCACTTTTCTAGAGTGGGTTTTAGGTTCAAACCAAGCTTTTTCTTCCTGTCCACCATAATCTGAATGGTACAACACACACACACACACAAATCCTACTGACCTCCACTTTTATATGATTGTTTTGTTTCCATTTGATCTCGTGAACTTGGGGGGGGGGAGGGGGAGGATCAGTGAAGACCCCCATTCGGGCCAGAAAAATGGATAGATCTTCTAGTTAGAGAAGTGATTCCCTGCCCAGTTGATAAGAGAGACAGTTCAAAGATGGGAGTGATTCCTGGTGTGTTTAGAGAAGGAATTTGGGTACTTGGTGGTAGTGTATCCCTGTCAAGGTCAGTTCCCCTGGGGAAAATGGATGCTATTGAGGGGAGACTCTATGGTATTATACCCCACTGAGATCCTTCCCCTCCACAAACCCTGCCCTCCATAGGCTCCACCCCCAAAATCTCCAGGTATTTCACAGAATCATAGAGATGAAAGGGGCCATACAGACCATCTAGTCCAACCCCCTGCCCAATGCAGGACCAGCCTAAAGCACCTCTGACAAATATCCGCCCAGCCTCTTCTTGAAAGCTGTCAGTGAAGGGGAACTAACCACCTCTCTAGGCAGCTGATTCCACCTTTGAACCACTCTGACCAGGAAAAAGTTTTTCCTAATATCCATCCAATACCTTTCTGCATGTAATTTAAACCCAATGCTTCGGGTCCTATCCTCTGCTGCCAGCTGGAACAGCTCCTTGCCTTCCTCCAAATGATAGCCTTTCAAATATTTAAAGAATTTCCCAACCCAGAGCTGGCAACCCTACATGGATTCTATTTAAGCTACCGCTACTGTCCTAAATGAACAATTCGTCTAACTCATTCCCAGGACTCTCTTCCCTCCAGTTGCGCAAATGACAAATCCCAGCTTTTATTGGACACTAGAGGGCGTGAGTGACTCCGGGCTCTGAACTGTTTATGATGGCCTCCTTCCCCCCCAATAGCTGACTCGGGAGCTGCCATGGGGTGGTGGTGGTGGATAAGCGCGTTGATTGGCTGGTGTGGTCTGGGGAAGTTCTGCCCAGCTGTTTCCTTTTGCCCCGGTCCCCGTGTAGTTCCGGAGGTCAACGTTTTACATCTGTGAGTACAGCGCGTGTTGCCGCCGTCTCGTGCAATTGTCAGTCGCTAGCCGTGTGGCTGCCAGAGGCAGGTTGCGAACTTGCATGACGAAAGAACCTCTCTTTGGCCTGGCCAGGAGGGTTTAATCGCTCCCCATCTTCATCCTTAGGTTAGTTGTGCGCGTGTCTTGGAAAGAAACGCGCGTTCAGAAGAAACGATAAGGGAAGAAAGGCGAAGCTGCTCTTGTTATTTTGTGTCTTTCCAATTGTCTCTTCTCTGCGCCCCCCCCCAATTCTCTCTTTCATGGGGGGGGGTTGTTAGCTTTGCCCGTATTTTTCTTTCTTTCTGTGTTTTCCACAACCCTCAGGTCTGCAGAAATGTACTTCAAGACTTAGCCGACCTATGAACACACTTGGGTGGATTTCGGCAAGCCGTTTGATCCCTTTTAAAACACTGGGATTAAATTTACCATGAGCCTCTTAGTTATGGGTGGATTGTTGTGTGGGCAGTTTTAGCGTGTGTATTTACCCTGCGTGTACAGTTCCAGTGTGTGTGTGAACTGACCACTTGATCTTTAGGGCTTGCGTTCACGTGTCCTGAGGTTGTATGCGGGGGAAAATACACATGTTGCCTCTGCTGGCAGAGCATGGTGACTGGTTGATCCTGTTTGGTCTCGTGGTTAATATTTCTGATTTGCAAAAGAGACCAAACGCTAGGCAGAACTGTTCGCCGTCTTCCTCTCTTGTCGGACATCCGGGTCTTTCCCAGCTCTACCTCTGTTACCCCAGTAAGGAGCTTCCAGCCTTCTTTGCAACTGTTATCTGTGGCTGAGTTCTACTACCAAGTCTGTAGAGTGAGAAAACATACATACTGTTTGACTGGTTGGTGAGTGGATTTGTTGATATATTGGTGTTGGATATGTCTGAGAGAATAATTTCACACAAAGGGATCATGTGAACAAGCTTGTGCATGCTAGAATGTATTCCAGAACATTCTGCAATGCACAGTATATCCACAATTGATTTGCAGCAGAAAAGCCAGTGAAGGAAGAGTTCCCTGAATAGATGTAGGTGGCCTGAAAGACCTTATGGTTGTAGCCAGATAATAATCAGACCTGTATCCCTCCTAGAGATGTAAAATTTCCGGAAATTTTGAAGCTCCGGAAAAAACCCAGTTTTCCCCCCAATTTTTTTCGGGGGGAAACGGAAATTTTCGGAAAAATTGAAAAAAATGCTACCTTAGCATTTCTTTTGTCTTTTCTAGATTGAAAGTCATTCTGTTACTTTAGGAACATAAAATATGACTATGAACATTTTTACTTGGCATGAAATTATCACAACTAGCATATTAAAAATATAGTGTATCCAAACAATTATTACAAACAGAATACCCACCCACATTCAAAAACAAAACTGAAACCTTTTTATTTTCTTGTGACAATAGCACCTCCTAAAGGAAGAAATGCATCTTGTTCTTGTATTCGAGAGTTCAGTTTGTAACCTAGGACTTGCTTGTCCTCAGTGCACAGAAATTAGATCAATCTGATACCATACAGGGCTCTTTTTGTAGAAAAAGCCCAGCAGGAACTCATTAGCATATTGGGCCACACCCCTGACAGCACAGCTCATTAGCACATTAGGCCGCACCCCCATGTTACCAGAAGTGTGGTTATCCAGCCACACCCACCTTTTGCTTGTTGTTCTGTTTACCTTGTTTGTTGTCAAAACCTAGGGCTTTTTTGTAGCAGGAACTCTTTTGCATGTTAGGCCACACACCCCTAATGTAGCCAATCCTAATGAGTTTCTGCTGTTGGGTGTGGCCTATCATGCTAATGAGTTCCTGCTGGGCGTGGCCAACTTGGGAGCCAGCCGGAACTCCGTTCCTGTGCGTTCTATATATATATATAAAATAATTGAACACCTTGCCTTAAAATATTTTATTCATCATATTAAAATAAAATGTTCCATAATCAATTTTTTCCCTTTAATTTTCTTTTTTCAATTTTTTCAATTTTTTGGAAAAAAACAAAAAAGGCTTCAGGAAAAAAACGGAAAAAAACCAATGGGTTTTTTTCCGAATTTTTCCGTTTTTTCCCCGGGCCTTCACATCTCTAATCCCTCCCTCCACACTTAGAAGAATGATCAGTGTGAGGAGGTGGAAACAAATTCTTGTCTAAAGGCTGTCCTTTTATCTCTTTAAAACTAGTAACTGAAATAAAATATTGCCCACCTTAATCAAAGTGGATCAGCTCCATACCAGAAATAAAAATCTTTCTATTAAATATATCACATTTAAAAAAAAATAAAAAAATCTCTGTCTCTGTTTTGTTTAACATCCCCTCCTTTCTATCACATTTGCCACTCTAGTAGTGTGGTTTTCAAACTGTATTTGAGGAAAGCCAGGACTTCCTTTGATGCTAATCAGAGGTTCTTTAGTGAGAAGATTAGTGGGCATGATCAAGCTTCACTGAAATACAACAAAGTGGTTTCCATTGCAGTGTGCTGCTGCTGGGCAAGAAACATTTATGTTCTTGGTTATTTAGTCTTTGCAGTTGTCACACTTCAAACTATCAGGCCTGCCAGCATTCTGATTAATAGAACATCAGCCTAATATATGTATTTATTTACATTTTAAATTTCTGAATCATCCCATCTCTGAGCACCCAGGGCTCTGAGTGATTTACAACAGGTTACAAACATCATCATGACATTATTAAAAGCAGTATTAAAACCTTAAAACCATCAATCAATCCCAGTATGGTAGTCTCCAGATGGCATCCATAATCTATATATCTAATAGCCAAGTTGCCCCCTCCGTGCAGATACTTAAATCAGCACGGAGGGGGCAGCTGGGGGGCCGGGGGAGGTTTGTGCACACGTGGGCCAGTCCCCACGTGTGCACAAAAATACAAAAAGTTTTTTAAAATTTCGGGGGGCTGGCGGGCGACGGGGGGGAGGAAGCCGGGCCTCGCCGCCGCCGCCTCCCCGGAGCCGGCTGGCCGGTTGGATCTTCTCCTCCTCAAAGTGGTTTACAATCACCTTCCCTTCCTCTCTCCATAACAGACACCCTGTGAAGTAGGTGGGGCTGAGAGAGCTCTGAGAGAACTGGGACTGGCCCAAGGTCACCCAGCAGGCCTCATAGGTCTCAAAAGTGGCTTACAATCGCCTTCCCTTCCTCTCTCCACAACAGAGAGCCGGCAGGCAGGTGGGGGGACACCGGCCTCGCCGCCGCCGCGGGGAGATGGGGGGGATGGAGGAGACGGAGCTCTTCTCCCCCCCTCCCCCGCGAGTATCGCGGGCCCCCCTCTTGTTTAATCTAAAACCCACTCTGGACTGCTCTTCCATCTCACAGGCAGGTTAAGGAGGAGGCTGAAGCAGGTCAGATGGAAGAAAAGAGAAGGGCGCCAGTTGTGGTGGAAAACCATTGCTGTCCTCAACCAAAAGCCTGGCAGAGCATCCCTGCCTTATAGGCCCTGCGGAATTGTATTCGATCCTGCAGTGCCCTGGTGGTGGTTGGCAGAGAGTTCCATCAGGTCGAAGGCAGGGCGAGGAGAGCTGGATATATCTGGGGCCAGGGATCACCAGATTTCTCTACCATGTGCTGGTGTTCTGTGCAAGGCATGAGGAGGTGGATGAATTATTGTGGAAGGGGTTCCTTGAAGGCAGAAAATATGGGGAAAAAAACCCCATTAAATATCACCCTGGCAGCTCTACAGTATTAATGAGGTTGCCAAGATGTAGTCCCGAGAGGATGTATGTCTTTTTGCTCACAGCTTTTGCAGTAGCTGTTGATACTGCTGCTCATCTCCTGCCCTGATCTGTTTACCCATCTCCCCTCCCTCCTGTGGTGGGGCAAAAGGAGATGTTACGGAAGCAAAGTAAAGTTTGATTTTGTCATGTTCCAGACTAGAGGATGAGGGAAGGAGTCAGTGGGCTTAGAAGGGTGTAACTGTGTTTAGGATTGCACCATTAGGCCTATAACATGCTTTAAAAATGGTTAAATAAATTGAACCAAACATGCCAATTTGGGGATAGAGGTCAGTCCTATGTTCCATCCACTGGTGAGCATTCTTCAGGAGCACCTATTGCTCTGGTCACAGTACTGGTTGTTGTATATGAGGTCACAGTCTGCATGGGAGTTAAGCATACTTGCAGTTTTTTTTAATTTTTAAAATATTTTTAATTGCAACCCTCCCAAACAGAAAGGAATTATATATTTATAAAATGCCACATGTTCACATTTTGATAAGGTTGTAAGGTCCTTGATCTGTTGGGTTACTGGAGGTGGCCTTTACTACCCCTGTTTTGTTGTAATGTAAGTCTTAGTAATAGTTAAGGGCATAGAGTGTCCATTTTCACTGACCCATCGGTTAGCCTGCAGGAGACAGACAAATAGTTTAAAAGTACAGAGGCATCCTTCAAAAGCAATGAACAATCTTAATTCAAAGTTTATATAATTCTTCCCCAAAAGAGTGAATAACTGGACAGGCCCAAAGCATATGCTTAAGAGATGTGTGTTGTAAGTTACAATGCCAGAAATTAGATGCTTTCATCCTGTACTAAAAAGGTATTTTGCTGAATAAGTTGCTGCTGGAGGTCCATACAAAAACCAGTTATAAAATCTAGAACCATATCCCAATGCTTTGGCAAAACAGGTTGATTTAGCTCCTTATTCCATTCATTACTGAGACTTTGCATATCATATTTAAGTATACTTGCAGATACTAATTTCAGTGAGCATGCACTCACTCAGTTTTCTGATGGATTGTGGCTTATGTGACTGTTCCCTAAGCAGGATAATTTTATTGATGGCAACGGCAAAAAATATATATTTTAAGTGACTATATGCTAAAGGAAGGGCAGGTTTAGGGAGGTCCAAAAGACTTTTGAATACATGCAAGGTTACTTTTAAAAAAGTTTTATTTTAAGCATTTATGTGACTTTCTTTTTCCTTTGTTCCTTATGACCGGTATACTTTGGCCTCACTGAGAGAGACTCCCTTACTACTTCCCCCCTTTATATCTGTGTGTAAATAATGTGGCAGTTAAGGGTGTATTTCATGCATCTGGTTTTTAAAGTGCTTTTATTGGCTCTTATTTCATGCAAGCAGATAATATTTCACTGTAATAAGAATTTATGATTATGATTGCAGGTGATAAGTTACAATGGGCTGCTTGCTCCCCCCTTTTTTAGGGTTTTGCTTACTAGTATGATTGAATCTGGAGATGGCAAGGGCTCCAAGCCTTCTTCCTACGAAAGAATAGTTCTTAAGAATGCTTCTGAATACTACTATCTGAAGATCCATTTGTAAGTTCAAACTCCCTGTCTTTCTTGGTTCCCCTCCACTGCTGAAGGAATTTTGTACAGCATGTTTCTTTTATGGTAGCTGGGACATTCTAACAAGATTCAATACAAATATAATTTTCAGGGAGTTCGAAGAAGTGGGCATTAGCCTGAATGCTTTTGAGTTCAAACAACTTATTATCTCCGCTCTGAAACAGCTGCATGGCGAGGTACGTGGCTATTGGCTTTGGATGACAATTTGACTGTCCTAAGAACTTTGCATTTCTTGAATTATTTACACAAACTGGACATAATAACATAAGAAGAGCCCTGCTGGATCTGACCAATCCTCCATTTAGGCCAGCATCCTGTTACACTCATGGCCAACCAGTTCCTGTGGAGGGCCAACAACAGGGCATAGAGGCCAAAGCCTCCTGGCTCTGGGATTCATAGGCCTAGCACCTCTGCATGTGGAGGTTCCCCTCAATCACCATGGCTAGTAGCCATTGATAGACCTATCCTCCATGAATCTATCTAATCCCCTTTTAAAGCTGTTTATTCCTGTGGCCATCACAATATCCTCCGACAGCAAATTCCACATTTTAATCATTCTGTGTGTAAAGAAGTATTTACTTTTGTCTGTCCTGAACCTACTACCCATCAGCTTCATTGGATGCCCTTGAGTTCTAATATTTCGGGAGTGGGAGTGTATAGGCACCCCATATTTTTCTGTAGTTGGCTTGTTTCTTTTATTTTTATGAATAGCAGGAGCCTTCCAGATGTGGTAGGACTCAGAACAGTGGGGTGAAGAGTCTCTCGTTTATGTTTAATTGGATCTTCTGCACAGAAGACTTGCAGCAGTCCTGCAAAGGCATGTGCCATTAATTCTGGCCATTGAAGCCCCAGGGGGAGGAGAGAGTGAAAGCAAAAGCATGCGAATGCATCTGCCATAGTCCAGTGATGCACTTTCCTTCATCTTGGCATTCCTAGTTGCACCTGTCAGTTTAAAGGGTTGGGCCTGTGCAGTGATGGCAAGAGAAACACATGGACAGATCAAGGTGGGGCTAGCTCAGGCCATTTAGGCACACAGGCAGGCCAGTTCACAGGAAAGAAATGCCGGTCCCTCTCCAGTAAGCTTATGAACAAAAGAGAAGCCATGTTGGATCAGGCCAATGGCCCTTCGAGTCCAACACTCTCATGTCACACAGTGGCCAAAACCCAGTTGCCACCAGAAGGTCCCACCAGCCTGATAACAAAAGTGCTGCTCTCTCTCTCTGTGCTTATACAAGACCTTTAAGGGAAAAAAGGGAAGACAATTGAGCTCACCAGGGAAGTTTTCTCTTTACTTTTGTGCTAGGTGACTAAAAGGGTTGCTTAAAGAAAAATGTCATTGTTCCTTAGGTTGGTGCTGCCCTGCCTGTGGATGTGTTGTCGTATGAAGAAAAAAACTTGTTTGCCATACTTCGAGTCCCGATCACGTAAGATGCTACTCAAAATACACCATCTGGAAAGGGCAGAAACAGATTATGTTTCTTACTGGGCTAAAGTAGGGAAGATGATCTTTTACATTATTAGTTAAGATGCCATAAGCTTGATTGAGGTGCCACTGGGGTATATGAGTCCACCCTGTGGTGGTTTAGGTGTATGGCTGCTCGTTTGGAGCTTATTGGCATGCTGGTTGTAAGAGGTGAGAATTGGGAGGGGGAGTTCAGGTGACAAGTTTTACATTAACTATGTTAACAAGCAACTACAGTCCCTAGACACCTTTCAGACATCCAGCAACCAAAACCTTGGATGATCCCAGTGCTCTGAAAGAGATATTTGGAAAAATAAATTGTATCAGATCAGTGTTAGTGGTGCAGCCCCCAAAACTAAGCTTGTTGAATTGGTTCTGGCCTACTGTGTTGAAGCCTATTGGACTCTTCCTAAATTTGGGGCTTTGAATCTTGCCTTTTAGGGACTCAAATGTTTACTGCATGTGTGAGACCACCAAGCCCTTAGTTTGCCATCCTTCATAATTATTTAATTCATTTATATCCTGCCTTTCTCCCCAGTGGGCAGCTTTTATTGTTCTCTTCTTCTCCATTAATATCCCCACAACAACCCCATGAGGTAGGTTAGGCAGAGAGTGTGACTGACCCAAGGTCACCCAGCAAGCTTCCATGGCAGAACGATGATTTAAACCTGGGTCTCCCAGATCCTAGCCTGGCACTCTCAAAGTACTACACTGTGCTGGCTTTTCATATACTTCTTATACTTTATATAATAACCTTCTTTGCTTTGCATGAACTTTTATTTATCTATGCAATTCTCTTGTTTACTCAGTGGCCTGGTAAAGCTGTGGAGTGCATTGACTCTGCTCGATACCTACCAGAACAGAAAGTGTGCTTTTAGGGTCATACAGGTAAGACTTAAACTATGCAGTGACCAGATCCAAGAGCCATTTAAAAACATTGATGTTTTACCTGGTTGTTTCAGTGGTTGTTTGATATTTGCTTGTGGAGTGCATGGATGTATGGCAGTTAAGTGTACCCAATTAATGCTGCTTACATTAAGGAAAGGCTGAAATTCAGTTTGACCTTTACAAGTTTTGACTTTCTTATGTTGTTGTAGCCCCCAACCCCTGAAACGATTAATAACATCTTAAGTATTGTTACCCAGAATTTTTCTTCATGCTGCTTGTTTAATTATGATTTTGTGGCTTCAGTACATAAGAAGAGCCCTATTGGACTAGTAGTACATCTAGTCCAGCATCCCGTCTGACACAGTGGCCAGCCAGTACTTTTGGCCAGCCAACGACAGGGCATAGAGGCCAAGGCCTTCCCCTGATGTTGCCTCCTGGTTCCGGGATTCAGAGACTTAGTTCAGGAGATAATAGTTGTTCCCCTGAGCTTTTCAAATTGTTGAAATCAGTGTGCTGTACAGAGTCATGGTCGGTTTTTTAACATATTTATTACGTTTTTTATCCTGCCCTTCCTCCAAAGAGCTCATGGCAGCATACGTCGGTCTCCTTTCTTCCCTCACAACAACCCTGTGAGATAGATTAGGCTAAGAGTGACTGGCCCCTAGTCACCCAAAGATTTTCCACAGCACAGTGGGGATTTCTGACATCTACGCCAACACTATACATCAAACTAATTGGGAGAAAAGTAGTACCTCTGTGTGTTTTGAAGAGGTGACCTTTCCTTTTTGAAGAGGCAACCTTGTTACTTCTGTTATAATCGCTCCTAACTGTTGGGTTCTGTGTGGACTATTTTATTGTTTATGGAGCTCAATTCAGATCTCACAAACAAAACCAGAATGTGATATACACAAATCTGGTTAAATGTCAGGCTTGTGTGCTCCCTCCTTTCTATTCTTTGAACTGAGATTGAAGATAGAATACTTATATGAACAAAAATGTACTTTACTGAGTCAGTGTGTGGATCAAATAACCACCAGAGGGTTTCTTAGCAGTGGCACATCAGTTAAAAAAGAACAAAAACTTTGGAGGTTTCATTGAATGTGACACCAGCCACAAAGAAGACAGAACCGTATTCCCCTTTGGCAGTGTAGGAACAGAATAGTGGTAAAGACACCAGGGAGAAAATATTTTAAAAGGAGTTATGATGATTCCCCCAGGATCCCTTTATCCCCTGCTTGGCAGGGCAGCCCCTTTTCTTTCTTTGTTTTTCAGTCTGTCCCACCCAGTTGTTTAAATGTATGTGGGATATATGCTGACCCAGTCCAGGGATCTGTTGTTGTTGTTCAGTCGCACAGTCGACAAAAGTCCTTCTTTTGTAGATATCAGGGTTTGGTCTTAGAATGTGAATAGGCAACAGGAATGAGTTAATTTTGTATAAATATAAACAAAAGATAGTTTGTCACAAACACATAGCTGTAGAGACAGGTCTTTAAACTTGGAGACAGATTTCCTGGCAGTTTCTGCTTAGATTCACAAGCATAAGCTTTTTTGTCTCAAAGACACTTAAATTGGTGAAGGCTGGAATATTCACCCAAGGTCCAGTATCCCTTCTTAACCACTTAATAGGGATCACACACACCCCCCTTTAGTAGAGCTATTTCCCTTAGGCTTGAATGGGGATCCTTCTTGATCCTCTCACTCCCTTAACCTAACTTCCTAGTCAGCTTTCATTTCTTAACTCCCACACCTCACTTTCTCAAGAGTAGCGTTCCGTTTGAATCCTATCCCTCAGGGTTCTCAAACCGGGTTAAAGCATTAACCATATGCTGTCTGTCACAGGAACATTTTGTCAGTTCCACTCTGTATATTCCTTTCTGCTTCTCCTCCAGTGCACTTGGGGTTAAAGTGACATCTGTCTGTGCTACATCTGATTCAAAAAAAGTGGAGGGGCCATGAAATACCAATTGGCATCATTGTGGTTGGGGAACACATGGAATATGAAGTTGTAGAAGATTGAAAACTAAGTTTTATCAGCATTTGCCCCGTCTTCTTAGGGTCTGATTCTACTGTCTGGTAAAGGCAAAGTGCTTGCATTGGAACATCATGAAAATTGGATTTGTTGAATGCTTCCATTTTCAATCTTGTTGCATCTTGCGCGGGGAGAAACAATGGAATTTGTGAGTCTGACAACTAACCCAGTTTATGCTCATCACGTAAACTCTGGTTTGAGTATGATACGGATTGGGCCTGGATGCATTCAGGCAAACTATTTTCCCCCTTTTATTTTCTTGGTCTTGCTCTGAATACAACTTAGTATGTTAGCAGGTCACCAGCAACTGATTTTAGTTCCTGCTGCTTCGCCAACAAGAAAAAAGGCACTTTGTTTCCTTTCTCCCCATCACAGCCGTTGAAATGACTCCTGCCACTTAGCTCTTGTGGCACTCGCTCCTAGGCTAACAGTGCAGAGTTACACTGGACTTAGAAAGGTGCAACTCTGCTTGGGATTGCACCCTAAGTTTGGTCTCCAAGAAAATGAGTACTCTTCCCATTCATTTGGTTCACGTTGCCCAGATTTTTCTGTATGTAGAAGACACTGATGTGGCTGTTAAGAATTTCGCTTTTATAGTATTGTGTGTTTTGTTTTCCCCTCTTCCCAGACCTCTCCATTTCTTCTAGCGTTAGCTGGGAACAGCAGAGAGCTGGTGCTGGATTGAATACACAGGAAACGCAGCTGACGGGATTTGCAGAACGCCAAGCAGTCCAAGATGCTGGCTGCCCTGTTGAAGTGTAGAATCTTTGAGGCAAGCTTCCATGGAATATTCCCAACAAAAACAAAACTTACCGTGCTACTCCTCACACAGCCCTCTGTTCTGCGATTCTATGTCCAAGTAGGAGACAAGGCTGAGTTAACGAAGACTTTTACACAGCAAGATGTTGACACCTTTTCTGATTTAACGGGAGACACAAACCGATTACACCTGGATGAAGAATATGCAAAGGGGACAAGGTTTGGAAGACCAGTGGTCCATGGCGTTCTGATCAATGGACTGATCTCTGCTCTCCTGGGTACTAAAATGCCTGGCCATGGTTGTATCTTCCTGTCTCAGGAAATTAATTTCCCAGCTCCTCTGTACATTGGAGAAGAGGTCTTGGCAGCAGCGGAAGTGAAGAGACTGAAGAGCGGGCTTGCCAGTATTTCAGTGTCCTGTACAGTTGCCACAAGTGGCAAGACGGTTATGGAGGGGATGGTTAAGGCTACGGTGCCAGAAGATCAGAACTCCAAGTCCTGACTACGTACTCTGTAGCAGGAGTCGAGAATAACTTGCATTTAATTGTTCTTCAGGACAAAACATACTGCCAATTTTATGCCAGTATGGCTTAAGACTGAAGGAATCCACATGGCAAAAAGAACGATAAATGCATCCTATACTTACCTAGTTGTAATTACATTATTGTGTGGGGTCTTAACCCATGTCATAAAAGGTTTTGAAGTCCAGAATTAACGGATGTTTAAATTTGTCGGAACTCAGAAGAGTTACCAGTAAAATGTTTTGGCATGGCCCTCTGGTTTAAAAGCCCACCTTGAGAAGGTCACCCCTTTGTTTAGTCAGTGTCCTTTGGTGAGATAGAGTTGGATCCCAAATAGCGTTTGGGCTGGTGGTGCAAGGACATCCGTTTCCCTTCCTCCCACAGGAGTCTGAAATGTCCGCAGAGATCCTGTTCCCGGGACAGAGACCATCCCCCAAGAACAGGATTTTGGAAAGCATTGTGGGCTGCCACAGAAGGGAGGATGTGGGAAAATCGTCTTGTGCGAGTGGAAGTCCTTGCGCCTGCGGAAACACTAATCGGCATCCAGGCCATAGGATGCAAGTGACGGGAGTCTGCAATTCGAGTAGAAAAGAAGAGTGTAAAGTGCTTCGTTTCAGGAGGGTGGCCCTGTTGGTCTGCAGTCGAACAGCTGGATTCGAATCCAGCAGCACCTTAGAGACCCACAAGGTTTGCCAAGGTTTTAAATGGCTTAAAACTGGCTTAAAACTGGGCTAATTTACAATCTACTGATAATTACAGTAGATCAGATCAGTCATACCGGGCTGGGTCAATAGTTTCTCTTACATTCCATTTAAACACAGAATTGGTTAACACAGGGCCAGCTGGATTACTGAGGGAGGTCTTCAAGCAGGGGAGGCTGGTTAGGACCCCCCCCCCCAATAGCTCCTGTTAAGCACCAGGATCTTATAATTTGGAGAACACAACTTCCATGTGTTCATCCGTTTTTCCCCCCATCAGCCCTTTATGGCAAAGGTTATTTTAGCATCCTTTGTACTGGATTTATCATGCATTTTGTAAAGTTTTACTTCCTTATCTTAACCCTGTTGACCATTGGTATCAGTATATGACCCTGGCTATTACATCGGTGAGAGTGTGAATACTTTTCCCTGAACCTCCACAGTAGGCTTTGTAACCCTAAGGACTGCACCCTGTAAGAGGTTTTTATTCCTCATTTTTATTGCCTTTACCCTGGGATGCATTTGCATAAGAGAAAACCGCATGGTCCAAGCCTATGCAGCATTTAATCACCTAACAATCAGTATTTCTCTGTAACTGCTTACACAAAGTTGTGGCACCTAAGTAGTCCTTAAAATACATGTAAATATGGGGAGGATCTGTTTTATGGACAACACTACTTAGGCGGGATGAACTTTTGCCTTCCCCTTGTTCATCTGCATGTGAAATGCTTATCGGGAGAGTTTGTGATTAAGGTTACCACAGATCTGGATGTCCTGTTCCTTTAACAGAGGCTTAGTGTGTAGAAAGGAAAGTGTGTAGAAAGGAACAGGACATTTTTGGGAGGTCCAGGTAGTTGTCAACCCTTTTTGTGACCTTGCAATCTTAGCAGGCTCTTTCATATAAAATAGGTGCAATATTGATGCACTTAGCGGCAACTCTTGTGAAATGAAAGTGACGTATGGGTAACAATAGCAAACGAAAAGATTACTTAGATGACTCTTTGCTGCTTGGCTTAGGTGCTGATACTGAGGAGGATACTGAGGCTGATACTGTTCTGTGTCACACCCAGTACGGCTACCCTCTGAAACTATGAATAACATGGGTAATTTGTAATAAACATTAGTCTTGAAATTGGGAACTCCAGGAAGGATAGAATTACAAAAAAAATTACACTTTCCTGGGATAGTCTGGTCAACTTCATCCAAAATAAAAAAAATAAAAAATCAATCTGATTGACTAGCCATTAACTAGGCACAGCAGAGAGGGGGATGAGCAAAGCCCTTGTTTTCTGGATTATCAGCAGTGCAATCCTCAGCAGAGTTGCATTTTTTCTGAGACCACTGAAACCAACAAGCTTAGAATGGTGTGACTCCAATCAAGATGGTACTGATGATATTAGGACAGACTACAGTTTAAGAGCTTCTAAAAAGAAAGGTAGTAATATCAAGATGTCCAGGATGTTTTTCTTGCGTCTTATCATTCTTCTAAGCTAATGTAATGCTGCATGCTCCTACTATGACCTGAAAGATGCTTTTAAAAACCTAAGAGATGCTTTGGCTTTACACATGAAAGTAGGGCATGCTGATAAAGCTAAGCCCTGAGATCATGAACTTGCACAACATTTATGGGGCGGTGTGGGGGAATCTCCAGCCTATAATCCGTGAATGAGCAAACATTCCATTCAGTATAATTGTTCTTTCTCAAACAGCTTTATTTTAAAACCTTTGGGAACTAACATTCATGAACATGGTGGGTTTAAAGGAGTTTAAATTTGCTTGGCTTCTCATAAAAGACTTATAGAGAAACATGGCCTTCTCCCTTTAAATGTGAATAGCTCCTCTTGGTGTTGACTATGACTAAGACAGAAACTGCTTAAATAGCTGGAAACTCCCCACACCCCCCCCCCCGCCAACCCCCGGCATTCTTATTTAGGCTGCAGTCTGAAATAGACTTGAGGCTCGGGTCCTACTGAACTCGGACATATGCATAGGATTGGAATTCATGTCTATAAACTGCTACAGTACACAGTTCTCTCTCTGCCTCTGAGTGAAGACTAATTTGTTTTGCATGAAGGAGCAGAGCAATGAAGGGTATAATTTTCTTGCTTCATCTTGTGTATGTTAAGTGCTCTCAGGTTGCTTCTGACTTACGGCAACCCTATGAATTAATATTCTCCAAAATGTCCTATTGTTAGCAGCCATTCTCGGGTCCTGCAAATCGAAGACCATGGCTTCTTTTATTGAGTTGATCCATCTCATGCTGGGTCCTCCTCTTTTTTTTGCTACCTTCAACATTTGCTAGCATTACTGTCTTTTCCCATGACTCTTGTCTTCTCATAATGTGGCCACAGTACGATAGTCTCCATTTAGCCATTGGAGCTTCTAGGGAGAGTTCAGGCTTGATTTGGTCTAGGACCCACTTATTTGCATTTTTAGCACTCTATGGTATCCATAAAACTCTCCTTCAAGATCACATTTCAAAGGAATCTACTTTCTTCCTGTCAGCTTTCTTCATTGTCCAACTTTCACACCCATACATAGTAATGGGGAATTCTATGGCATGAATTAACTTAATCTTGGTTCCCAGGGACACACTGATAAGGATCTTATCTAGCTCCTTCATGGCTGCCCTCCCCAGTTTCAAGCTCCTTCTGACTTCTTACATCTTACAAACAACTAATAATAATGTTTAATAAGTTTCCTCTGATCTAACAACGTGGGTTTGAGGCAACTGTGTGAGTGGAACATAGTGATCCATTAATGTTCTGCCTTGTTAAATTGCAAATCCTCTGGTTCCCAAATCTTTTGATCCTTAAGATGTCACTCAAAGCCATGTGAAAGTCTAGTATGTACACTTTTTAGTTATTTTACCAGTGGCTTGAGAACCCCTTGCATCTTTTTGCTCCTAAATAGCCTCATTGATTTCTCTCTTTCTGAAAGTGCGTGAATAAGAGAGAAGGGAAGGAACATGTGCTGAAACGAGCGTATTTCCCTTTCCGCAGCTCTTAAGAATGAAGCTTTGTAAAACATCGAGTCAGTTGATCATTCTCTTGTCCAGCAGTCATGTGAAAGCACTGTATTATACAGAGAAATGTGAAGACCATCCACTTTGTCTGCCAATGTCAGAAGCTGGTTAAATAACAGAGCTCTGTGGGGCCTAATTATTTATCATATGCCACCTTTCCATAAACCTACCGGAGAGGACTCAGAAAATAAAAATAATGCAGTAAAATCATTAAAACAGCCACCAAGGAAATTATAACAAGCCATACAAGCATTCAGCAGCCTAAAGTATTTATTTATTTATTCAATTTATACCCGGCCCTCCCTGTGAACAGGCTCATTCATATAACAGGCTAGAAGCAGACTATTAGAAACAGCAAAAAGAAAATGGAACCCCTCCGTTAAAGTGTTCTGGCGTGGTGCCTAAAAGACAGTAGAGAGTTACAAATGTGTTGTGGTATAAGCTTTTGTGAACCAGAGCCTGCTTAGGGTTGCATTTTGTGAGACAAGATAGTGCCATTCTAAGCAGTTAACCTGTTACAAATCCATGGAAGTCAGTGGACTTAGCGGTGGCACTGTGGTGCCCTTACAGTACTTCAGTGCTGCTATTCTGGAGTAGGAAAAAATGTACCCAGAAAGGTCTGTCTAATTATTGGGATTTAAAGATAAGTGCCACCAAGTTGCAGCTGACTTATGGTGATCCCTCATGGGATTTTCAAGGCAAGAGATAAGCAGAAGTGGGTTGCCATATCACCTTCCTGTGCACAGCAACCCTCCTCTTTCTTGGTGATCTCCCAGAAAGGTAAACACTACAGCAATTAACCCTTCCAGTGGCAGGGCTGGGAAACGTGTATCAAACCAAAGAAAGTATGCAGAAAATTCATGTGTTGATGCTCTGTTGCCAATGCAAATACCTCTGCATTCACAGCAATGATGAAAGCAAAACAGAATCCTTACTGTGTGGATGCAGCATTCAAGTCTGATTGATGTATTGCAGCAGAATCACCTGTGCTCCCACAGTCCTTAGTTACCAAGGAGAATCCCTGCCTTTTGTTTACTGTCTCCTGTTAAACTCTTCATAGGATTGCACTGTATGTCTATTTGTGCTTACCGGGTTTGCCTTAAGAAGGTTAAGTTGCTTGTGGTGTCATTCTTCCGACTTCAGCATCTCTAGAAGTTGACATTTCTCAGTGTGGGTTCATTGTCCTAGAACCAAGTATGCACGGTCTGCCATTTCACACACTACAGATGCTGAGAATTGTCACAGTATGTCAACAGATGTTTATTTTTAAAATATCTGTGTACAAGGGAAGGGGCCATGGTTCAGTGGTAGAGCACCTGATCGGCATCCAGAAGGTCCCAGGTTTAATCCCCAGCATCTCCAGCTAAAAGAACCAGGTATTCGGTGGTGTGAAAAACTGCCTGCGTGAGACCCTGGAGAGCCACTGAGAGTCTGAGTAGACAACACTGACACTGATGGTCCAATGGTCTGATTCAGTATAAGGCAGGTTCATGTTCAAACAACGAGCTGTTGAACTGAAAGGGCAGGGGTCATTTCGTAGAAAAAGAGGTGCAAGAGC